CAACGGTCTATTTCGAGGATTTTTGCACGTGGCCGCCGCCTTGTTGCATGTCATGACGTGTCTGCAGCGCCGACGCATGGTCGAGAGTCGAAGGCATTCAAGACAAGGAACAATACACGATGAAGAGTCTGCGTAAAGATGTACCAAACCTATGCTTTGTTGTCGGGCATGATGGGTGCCCCGAGTGGCAAGTCGTTGGACGCTTTGCATTTCACGCCCTTGGTGCCAGGAACGCTCGGGATGTACCAGCAATGGCCACGAGCAATCCCGCCCGCCTTGGTCGCTTCGTAGTCGAACCCGCCAAAGTCCCACGTGTTGTCGAACGTGGCAAAGTTCACCTTCATCCAGTCCTTCGTGAAACTCAACTCCATAAACCCGTACGGGTTGCCGCCGGCCACCCACAAGTTGTCAATGTACGCGTTCTTGCCTTCCGTCGACGTATCTGTGAAAATACCACCGCCGCCGCCGTTCTCGAAAAAGTGCGTATTCCACTTGGCCACGTCGTGGTTGAACCCGTGCGTGTGGCCGTTAAACCACGCGTGCACCCCATACGTCTTGGTCAGGTTGTACCACATCATCATGCGGGGCTCCCCCATGTGGAAGTGGGGAGAGTAGTGCGTGTTAATGATCTTGTACGTGGCGGTCGACTTGGCCAGATCACGAGCAGCGCCGTCGTACGATGCCTTTGCCCACCCCTCAATCTTGTCCTTGCACGCGTTGAACATGCCAATGTCGCCGCCAGCGCAGTTGGCATCTCCGGGCATTTCGTTCCCCGTACATTTTGTCTTCGTCTCCCGCGAGTACCCGTAGCACTGGCAGCACACTTGCTGTAGCCCGTGCGAATCGGCGTGGTTCGTGTCCAAGTTGAAGATGTCGACGGTGACGCTGCCGTCGTCGCTCTTGACCGACTCGACGTAGTAGTGGTCCTTCATCAGCCATCGGTCTTGGTTTGGGCTCTTGTACTGGGCCTGCAGGTCAAACTTGAGGTCCAAATACTTGAGCATCTCGGCCGTGTCTTTGCACTTGACAAAGTTGTAGTCCTTTTCGCCGCAGATAAACTCCGACCCGCCAATGTCGTGGTTCCCGGCTACGTTCACCCACTTGATACCCTGCAGCGCTGGCTGAGCATACTTCTTCTCGAACGTTTCTTCCATCCGGTACTTGACATCGCCAGGGCCTACACCATCCCAGTAGATGTTGTCGCCGTGGCCGATCACTCGGGCCGGCTTCGGCTTGAGTTGGCCCGCCGACTGGGCGAGAATCGTGGACACGTACAACTGGGCCCAGTAGTCCACCTTGATGCGGGCCTTGGAAGGGTTGACCTTGTTAGCGTTCGCACCACTGCCACCATAAGTCTTGCAGCAAGAACCGGGGTCGCCAGCAGTGTCGAGGGAGCTGCCCGACTTCTTGCCGGTGGTACTACCCCAATCGCCGATGGCAAGCATGGTGAGCACAGCTTTGCCAGTTTCCGGATCCGACGCAGGGGACGGAGCAGGCGTTGTTGTCGCACCTGGAGCAGGTGCAATGGTTGTGCCGAGCAAGTCGTTGGCCGTCACGTTCTTGGCGGGGGCAAGGGTGGTGGCAGTCGTAGACTTGTCTCCAGACGAGTTGGACGCATCACTGCTTCCCTTGCCGACTACGAGGACGATGACGACAGCGACTGCAACCGCGACGAGAAGGCCGACAGCGATTACGATGGTGCGCTTCTGCATCGATCCCACCAATTCCAGAATGCCTGTCTTTGGCCGAAGATGCCATGTATATCCGGAATCCGGATAAATGACCGAATGCCATCCAATAACATCTCGCCTGGCAAGGGAATCGCGTGATTTGATTGGTTGACACTTTACTTGCGGGGAAAATTTCAACGTGGGAATTCCCCTAAACAAGGTTTCGCATGCCATGCTTTTACACGATGGTGAAGTCCAGCATCGGCCGCGGACAGCGAGGCGTCGCGATGGATGGAGAGGGGTGCACGTGGCTCCGGGGCGGTGAAAGGCTTCGACGGGAAGAAAGTCGACGTGAGGGAGCAAGCTGAACTGCCGACGGTGAACAAGAACTTGAGATTTCAAATCCCCTTTGATATAGCGTGCGTAACGCGGCGCACTGCTGTGGTGGCACGGCATCATAGAGTGTGACACCACGCCAGCAACCAAGTCAACATCTCGACACGTGCAGCGCCTCGTCGAGGGCGCGATGCGTCTCGAGTAGCGGTGGGCGAGGTGTGTTTCGTGGCAGGTTGGGCTGTCCCATATATTAAGTTCATGGTGGACGTGATCGATTCTACGTGGGCATGCCGACAACGCCGTTGACGGACGATTTGCACTCGACGCCGGGCGAGTTGAGGTTCTTGGGGACGAACCAGCAGTGGCCTCGGGCGATGCCGCCTTTCGTCGTGTCGGCAAAGTTGAACCCTTTAAAGTCCCACGACTTGTCGAAGCTCACGAATTGCACCTTCAACCAGTTCTTGGTGAAACTGAGCTCCATAAACCCGTACGGCTGGCCCTTGGCGACCCATGTCCTACACAGCACCACGTCGTCGTCATCTTGATCGTTGCCATGCTGCTCGCGTACGATGACACTTGATCGTTGTTGGTGACCGGCGCTGCCGACTCGCTAAAGATGCCGCCGCCCGCGCCGTTCTGGAAGAAATGCGTATTCCACTTGGCCACGTCATGGTTGAATCCGTGCGTGTGGCCGTTAAACCACGCATGGACGCCATACGTCTTGGTCACATCGTACCATTTTTGCATGTGCGGCGGGTCCATGTGATAGTGCGGCGAGAAATGCGTGTTGATAATCTTGAAATCGGCAGTCGACGCTTTCAGGTCCTTGAGCGCGCCGTCGTACGATGCCTTGGCCCATGCGTCGATGCGGGCAATGCATTTCTACGAGGCAGCGTGTCAGGTCCTCCCGTACCGCGCGCTAGGTCGAAGCCACGTACGTCATACATGTCGGTGTCGCCGCCAGCGCACGTGCGGTCGCCGCGAACTGTGTTCTTGCACGGGTCCGTTGTGTCGTCGGGGGCTTGCGTGTATTTCCACCGGTACCCATAGCATTGGCAGCATACTTGGGACGCGCCATGCACCGCCGCGTCGTTCGTGTCAAGGTTCAAAATGTCGACCGTGACGCTGTTTTGCGTGACGCGTTCGAGAAAGTAGTGGTCTTTCATGAGCCATCTACAACGCAACAACGATCACGATGCCCGTCGACGGACGAATGTCTCGGTTGTACCGGTCGCCGTTGTAGCTCGTGTATTTCGCCTGCAGCGAAAACTTGCGCTCCAAACTCTCGAGCATTTCGTCGACAGACGTGCACTCTCGAAAGTGGTCGTTGTCGTCTCCGCAAAGGTAGGCGGACCCACCAATGTCGTGGTTGCCGGCGACGCTGACCCACTTGACGGGCTGGAGCGCCGGCGCCGTGTAAATCTTTTCAAACGTTTCTTCCATCCGGTACTTGACGTCGCCGGACCCGACGCCGTTCCAGTAGATGTTATCGCCGTGGCTCAACACCCGGCTCGGCGTTGGCTTGAGCATCGCGGCAGACATGCCCATGAGCTCGGCAACCCACTTCTGCGCATGGTAGTCGACAAGGTACCGCGGCATGGACGTGTCGACCTTTCCTGCATTCGCCCCTTTGCTGTACAGCTTACAGCACGAGCCAGGCGAGGTACCGTCGTTGCCGCGTCCTGTGAAGATGGGGTAAAGCGGACGGTTCACGACAGAGGATACGAGCAACGGACCTGTGGTGCTACCCCAATCCCCGATTGCCAACATCGTCAGCGCGGCCACGTCAGTCTCGGGGTCGACGAGCGCCGAGGTGCTGGCGGTGGTGGGAACGGTATCGGCCGACGTCGAGTTACTCGTCTTGCCAGAGGACGCACCGTTGTTGGAGGTTGGTGTTCGGGTTCCAGACGACGACGACGTGCCTGCAGCGGTCTTGCCTGATGTCGAGAGCACAACGGCTGTGGCAATACCCCCTGCGATGAGCAAAACACCGATCGACGCCAGGGCTATTTTCATCACTTTGCTTCCTCCAGTTGAAGTGGCGTCGTCGTAGCTGAATCGTTCGTCCAGGATGGGAATGATGTCTGTGTCGCTGATTCCAGACGCCTCGTGCGCATCTAAAGGTTCTGTCAGTCACGTCGTAAAGTAGTCGTCCATCCACGTACCTGGTCGCTTCGGCGGCATGCTGCTGGAGACGTTTATGTGCGGTGTGGTTGATGTGGAGGGGGCCGCGCGGCAACGGAAGGACTCGCGATGGGAATGGTCAGGTGTCGTGCGTACAGTACGTTGTCCCTGGGTTGTTTTTACGCCAAATTAGCCGACTATTTTGACGGAAACCATCGGGACTTCGACTTGGAATGATATGCACGGGACGAACTACTACTTTGACAAAAATCCTCGATATTTTATAAAAAGTTGATTGAAAACGCAAGTTGTTCACAAGCTGCCACAAGTGTTTCTGCAGCAACGTGAAATGCTCGCCTTCCGCGATCTCGACCAACTCACGACTGCTGCACTCTAGAGGGAAAAAAGAAGTATGCGCCAGGGAGCCGCTGGAGTACGCGAAAAGCGCCACCACATGCGTTTGCCACTGCGACGTACGCCCACCCTGCTTGCAAAAATGGGTCAGAATCACGAATGTGAATGCCTTTGCCAAGACGAGCCTTGGCATCCAACAAACGCTATCGTCGATACTAAGAGTAATGTTGGTACGGCACTTATGCAATAGTTGAAAACATGCTGGAAACTTTCACGACTGTGCTTCAGACAATAGAACATGTTAGTGGCATCCGACATTCAAACGACAAAATTTAGAGCGGTCATTGGTGAAACGACATAAAGGTAAAATATGATTGGACTCCATAGATTAGAGGCAACGGATTGGTCGACTCCAATGTCGTTTTGCAACATATCAGAGAACATTGAGAATAACACAATTGGATTGGTTGAAATCACTTGGTAGGAGTTACATAACCACCACGACCATTTAAAATGGCGCCGTCAAAGCCAACGATGGTGGCCTCCAAGAAGACCATCCAAGAATCGTTCCACGGTGCGTCCACAAGGCGCGCCTACACAACCTATCAGAAGCAGTTCGAGGCATTCCTCCGGCTGAACAAGGACGGTCTTGACCCCCGAGAGGCGGGAACAGAGGAATGCACCGACTTCTTCCACCACATGTACACTCAAGGCCGTAAAGCTCGGACCATTGACCTTGCCAAGTCCGCCCTGGTCGCGTACTTCTCAGCGTGTGGTGTGGTGCCAAACCCAGCCCCGGACTCAACAACCCGACGCTATATTGTTGGGTTACAGAAGTACAACAAACAAAACAACCTCGACGAAGAGAAGAAGGCATATCCAATCACCGTGCACGAACAGTCGACTCTGATGAACTCGTTGGCGCATCTCCACCCGTTCCTGGGCGCAATGCTGCGGCTGCTGTTGGCAGTGGGCTTTATTGGCTGCTTTCGCACAAGTGAGGTGTTGGCCCTACGTTGGAACGACGTCGAAATTGTTGGAGACGACAGGGGTCGTTACCTGTCCGTACGTCTCCGTTGGCACAAGAAGGCCAATGTCGAAGAGGGTTGTCAAGTGTATCATCTTGTTGATGAGACCACGTTTCCATGCTTGCGCGTGTGCGGCTTCTACGACGAGTACCTCTCGAAGGTCAGAGCTGCCGGAGTCAACATCAACAGCAGTACCTTTGTGTTTCCCAACTTTGTCTCGCCACAGTCGGGTGTACCAAAGGTTGAGTGGAGCCGCGGTCTTGATCAAGCCAGCTTGCGGCGAATCCTAGTCGACGTTGTCGAGCGCACTCCAAACCTTCCTATCGGCATAACCCTACACAGCCTCCGGCGTGGTGGTGCGTTCTTTCGTGTGTTTGAGTCTGTGGAACGGCGCTTCAACTTTCGCGAGTTGATGGCCTGGTGTCGATGGGCGGACTCTAA